ACTTTTATTCCGCTGTTCACCTTATTATAAAATCCATAATTTAAGTTTTTCACCCGTGCGCGAGGACCTCCAATGCCTACGCCGGTGCTCGTGGTCCTTGGCCACCAAGGACTCGATGGTAAAGCCGCGCTTGGCTGTGGGCTGGAACATGGTCGCGGGCGCCAGAGCCGAGAGAGGCAGCCGGGCTCTGGGGAGCGCTCCGCGTGCGGGCGCCGCCGCCGTGCGGGGTGTGCACCCAGCCAGGCACATGCACTCACACCAGCACCCCTCACCTCCCCCGCCCGCCCGCCAGTGCTCAGCCCCTGCGGGTGAGCCAGGCGCGGAGCGGCGAGGGGCGTGCAAGCCAGGGAACGCGGAGTCGGGCCACCGCGCACAGCTAGGCGAGCTGGCCTCGGCCGCCAAGCCAGCAGCTCCCGGCTCGTGCACTGGCGCGGGATCAGTGTGATGCCGGGAGCTGCCTCCACGGCCTGGGGGCTGAGCTCGGCCCCCTCCCTCCCGAGTCCGGCCAGGTCCGACCCCAGCCCCGGGTCCTCCAGCAGTGCCCTAGCCAGGCTTCGGCAGTGGCGCTGTGAGGCGCGAGTTAGCCGGCACCTGCCCCGCGCTCGCCCATTGGCCGCCGCTCACCTGCCCCAAGGTGGGGGGCGGGGTGGGGCGGGGCGAGGGACCGCGGGTGGGGAAAAGGAGCCAGCAGTCGGAAGCAAAAACCGGACTGGAGCATTAGCAGGGCGATCTAGGCTTCCCCCCACCCCTTACCCCCTCGCCGCTGGCTTCTCTCGTCTCCGCCCTTTAGCTGAGTCTGGCGGCCGCCACAAACGTCTCAATCCACGCGGGAGCAGCAGCAGAAGGCGTCCGTGGGGCTGGGGGCTTGGGAGAAACTCCAACCCCACTCCCCGGTGTGTAACTCATGAGCCTTCTCCAATTCGTCCCGGGATGTTGTTTCAGTTCTTAGACAACTTGGAAACGAGTGGAAAGTGGGTGTTTAAGGTTCTCCCAAGAACCAGCTCCCCGCTTACCCACCAACTATCTCCAGGGCGGCCCTGTTCGTGGAGTTTCGTGTTTTCTGGGTGTCATGGGGGCACAGCTCCAGAAAAGGGACGCTCAATTCTTTTCACAAGGGGCCTGGCCTGGAACAGCGCGAGAGCAGCCGCCAGAGCTGTGGCCCTGCAGCTCTGCAGCACAAGTTCGCGGGCCTCGGAAGCATCTTCTTGGCCCAACCACCGCCACCGCGGCGGCTCGCACAGGGACCGCCGGCGTCGGCGCAGGGCGAGCTGCTTCCCTCGCCGCCTCGGGTCAAATGCAGGCGGGCCGGGCGAGGTCGGGGCCTCGGGCACAATGCCCTAAACGGGAGCTGGCTGAGCAGCCGACTCCGTCCGCGAGAAGACACACCGACAGTCCCGGGAGCGCAGCGGCCGCGGGGCCTCCCCTGACCGTCACCTTAAGCCCGGGACCGCAGAACAGCGACGCGTCTGCTCTGGCCATTTTCCATTTCGTGCATTAATCTCGCCGGGGGCGAGAGGGCTGTTGGCCAGGAGAACCAGTACTCCGCAAACTTTTTCGCCGGGGCCTTCCAGGCCGCAGGAAACACCGCGCCGAGGCCTGGGAGGGCGCGGGGCGGCGGTAAGGGGCCGAGACCCGGACCGGCCGGCACAGTGCGAGATGGGGCCCGCAGCGCCTTCCACCTCCTCGTCGGCGTTGGGGTCCGTCGGAGCAGCCCGGCCGCCGCGCTCCGGGTGCGCAGATCCGGGCTGGGCCTCGGGGCGCCCCGGGGCCAGGGGGTCGGCGTGCCCCGTGAATCTGCAGGCACTCCAGGCCGGGACTTGGGAGTGGCCCTTGTGAGCGCCGGGAGCCCAGGACCCGGAGAGCGCTCCGGGCGCCTCGGTCGCCACAAAGCGGGTTAAAGTCTATTTTCCACTCGACTGCTCCGAAAAGCCCCCGCGCGCCGACGCCGTCCCGGCCCCGTCGGGCGAGATGGAGGGATGGGGGGAGCAGCGAGAGAGGGGGAGGTGAGCCCGTAGCACCCTGCAGCCCTTCGTGTCCTGGGAAGCCAGGACGGAGCACCGCGGAGGCGCCCAGAAGCGTCTGCGGAAGGAATCCTTGCAGAATCCTCCGAGGCGAGCACTCGTGTCTCTTTTCTGGCCTCTCGGGATCTGTCTGGCCCTCTGTGCAGGTCTTTCCTCTCTCGCATTTGTCTCGGGCTTTCTATTTCCCCTCTCTCCTGCCTCCCTGCGCCTCCATCCTGACTTTTCCTCTATTTCTTCCCCCTTCTCCTCTGCCGCATCCTGGAACCTGGAAAAGGGGAGGCTCCGTCCAGTGGGGACGAGGACCTCACCGGGACACATCACTAGGAAGGCGGGAGTGCGGGTCTGGGCAGAGGCACCGACAGAGGAGAGTGTCGTTCTATCTGGAAAGAAATGGCGAAGA